GGACACGGGGGCAGCTGTGTCACTGGCAGCTGCCCTCGTATTGCACATCCAGCGACGGGGGAATATCCATGCCACGTCACAACACAGCGTCGGCACTATGGGACCTCGGGGGAGGCGCAGGCACCGTCACCACCCAGCAGGCTGGGGAGCGGGCTGGGGCGCCAAGGGTTCACAAAGGCAAAAGACCCGTCCACCCATAGATAGAGAGAGAGAGATATATATAAAAAAAAAAAAATAGTTCCACGATGACCAGAGCAGAACCACAGGGACACGCGTGCAAGCGGAATGTACAGCGGCCCGCGAGCAGGTAAACATGCTTTGTACACACACAGGCACGCCGGGACACGGCCGGGGTTTATGGCACTGGGAGGGAGACAGAGCCATAAACCCGGGCTTCACACACACGCTCACACACACGCACACCGGCCCCTGCGGGCAGTGCCCGCGGCTCGGGCACGCGCCGGGGCTTGGGGGCTTGGACACAGCGGGTGTTTCTCACTGCTAGACATGGTACGGAGACACGGACACGGTCCCTTGGAACGGAACTGGAGGAAGAACTCGTGAGCGAACGGGGCAGGGGCACCCCTGCTCCTCCCCGGCACACAGGCACCGGCTGGGGCCGGCTGGAGAGGAGCAGGGGGCTACCGGCGGTTCGTTGTGCTGCTGGTGGAAGAGGCAAGGATGGGGGTCCATTATGCCTCTGGCTCGTATTCCTGGTATTCCTCCTGCGGGATGGGGAAGGAAAGAGCCAGTGAGAAAGTCCAGGTGGGGCACAGAGCCCCTCTCTTCCCCAGCCCAACACCAGCTTTGCTCTGGACAGTGCACTGACCAGTGTCACACTGTGTCCACTGTGCCACCGTGTCCCCTCACCTGTGGGGGTTCCTCGTAGTTCTCCCCCTCTGGCTCCAGCAGCGGCTCGACCAGTGGCTCCTCCACAGCTTCCTGGGCCACCTCCTCTGCCTGAGAGTGAACCAGGAGGTTAGTGCCTCACACAGACACACACACACACACACACATACACACACAGCACCACCCTCCCTGCCCCTGCCAGACCAGCAATGCACCCAGGATACAATGGGTGCCACGGAGAGCCAGCGGCACCCTGGGCACACAGCAGCCCACCTGGCTGGGAGGCGGCATGCACAAGTCTGTGGGAGCAGGGGCTGTGTGGGTATGTCCATATACACTCTTCCCAGCCCCATCCTCGGGCAGTGCTGCACCACGTGGGCCTCGACAGGCTCCAGGAGCATCCTGCATCCCTGGCAGGGGAGGGTGGCGCTGGGTAACCCCTCCCCGGGGCTGGCAGGCGGCAAAGGGGGGCAGCCAATCCCCCTGTGCAGCGGCGGCGGCAGTGGCCTCATTTCTTCAGCTGATGCTATTTTGGGCTAAGCTGGAAGCCAGCAGCTCATGGGAGGGCGAGCTGGAAGCCGCTGCCCCTCCCGCAGCTGTCAGGTCACCTCGCCGCCGCTGGAGCACCACGCGTGGGCCCGGGCCCAGGCCGCCATGCCGGGCCCCGAGCGCGCACACGTCCGCAGACTCCGCGCCCGCCCTGGGCCGCGATGCCCGCCTGCCCTGGGCACGAGGAGACCACCTGGGCACCCTGGCGGTCTCTGCTTTGGGACCGGGGAACAGCCGGAGGGCTCCTCGCCAAGCCTGGGGATGTGCCAGCCTCCCCATGGGCATGGCGGTGCCTGGGGACGCTCACCTTCAGGTCTGCAGGGAACTCCTCCTTCTTCACCAGCCCGGTGGCCGCCGCAATGTTGCCGGCGCCGGAGAACGCAGCTTCGCCCAGCTGGGACGCCTGCTCCTTCGCTTTCTCAGCCACTGCAAGAGCCGGGGGTGCCCATCAGTGCCCCCCATGCCAAAAAGGGTGCCCAGCTGTGGCTTCACGCCCTGCACCACCCACGGGGGAGCTGGCGGGGAGATGCTGGGCAGGATCAGGCTCTTCTCACTTCCTTGCCCTGGTGGGGAGGGGAGGGGGCCATGGCACTGCTCTGCAGCTGGGCAAGGAGTGTGAGCAGCCGCCGCAAATCCTTGTTTGCCGGCCCTGTTATATAAGAGGCTTTAGCAGAGTGACATCAGCCCCTCAATTAGCCTCTGATCTCGTTAGTGTGGCCACATTCTCAGGGACAGAGCAGGACCCCGGCAGGATGACAGGGGGGCCGTACCTGAGGTTACGCCTTGCACCACACCTTGGGTTTTGCTCCCTGGGGGTAGAAAGAGACAGAGATCGGGTTAGAGGGACTGACAGCTGGGCTCCAAGACGTGCCATGCCCAGGACCCCGGCAGGGCTCTGAGCCAGGACAGCAGCCTGTCCACACCCCATGCCAGGGCACCTGGGGGGCTGAGCACTTGCCTGGCTCCCCTCAAGGCTCCTGTTGTCCCTGCAGGAGCCAGAACTGGGGCAGCACAGGGCCACTGCCACGTGCCAGGCAGGGCAGAGACCCCAGGGCCCAGCACTGTGTCTGGACACAGCCAGGCAGGGCGAATGTGAGCCGTGCTGCTGAGAAAAACCTTCCATAGGATCCAAACCTAGAGCTGGTTCCAACAGAGCATGGGAAGCCCCACAGCTGGAGTGCCCACAGCTGGGTGCTGCTGCTGGTTGTGCTGACCCTGCCAGGCTCTCTCAAGCAGAGTTACACCACCCAGGATACCTCACAGAATGGGAGTGGGGGGTCTAGGATGGAAGGAAAGGTAGAGGCTGGGTAGCTCCTGTAGGATGGGGCCTCAGGCTGTTCCTTAAGCTGCTGGACCCCAGTCCAGCAAATACCCACTAGCGAGGATGGGGGCTCAGGATGGGCACCCACCACTGCCCAGGGGAACAGTTCTGGGGCCTCAGCTCTCCCACAGAGCTTGTGCCTTCTGGAGCAGAACAGAGCCCCAGCCGTGTGCCCTCCTCCCTCCCACCGCAAGCGGGGTTGGCCTCGGCTCCCTCCCTGAGCATTCCAGCACCACAGCCAGGCACTCAGACTGCCCAGGAACTGCTCCTCCTGCCAGCCATGTCTTCTAGGACTTGGCTCCGAACAGATCCCGCCCTCAAGGGGCAGCACGGAGGGACCCCTCAGTCACCAGCCCGGTGCAGAGGAGATGCCGCTGTGGGATGAGCTCCAGGGCACCTCTCCAAGGGGGACAAACGCGGTGCACACCCCCCTGCCCCAAGAGAGGCACATCCCGACACAGAGGTCACCACCTCCATCACGGTCCCTCTGCTTTCCTGCCCCAAAGCATCCCGGGCACAGAGCTGAGAGACCCTCAGGCTCAGACGGGGAGCTGCAAGGGGTACAGCCCCCGAGGGTTCCATCCCCTCAGCCTGGGAACCAGTCCCCGACTCTCCTGCCTGCAGAGCCCACTCTCCTGCCCTGCAGATTCCCGGTGGGCAGCGAGGCACTGCGGGCACCGAGCCTCTGCCCCGGAGCACTCCGCCGCAGGGTGGTCGTGGCGGGGAAGGAGCAGGGGAGAGGGGGAGCGGGGCAGGTGGGGACGGCAGGGGGACGGCAGGGGGATGGGCAGGAGGACGCAAGGGCAAACGCAGGAGCAGGCAAGGGCAAGCAGAGAGGGCCGGCAGGGGCAGGCAGGGACGGGCAGAGATTAGCCGGGGGTGGGGAGGAAGGGGGCAGGCAGGGGCTGGAAGGGGCTGGAAGGGGGCAGGCAGGGCAAGCCGGTCCTTACCCACATAGAGGACCCCTTCCTTGGTCTTCTCCGCAGCCTCGGCCACCCCCTGCTTGGTCTTCTCAGCTGCGGCGACCACCCCCTCCTTGGCCTTGGACAAGCCCTTCATAAACACCTCCATGGCGGCTCTGCGGGGAGAGGCCGCAAGGCTTCACCCCGCCCCGGTCCCGCGCATCCCTTCCCCGCGCATCCCTTCCCCGCGCATCCCTTCCCCGCGCACCCCGGCTCCGCGCATCCCGGCCCCGCGCATCCCGGTCCCGCGCATCCCTTCCCCGCGCATCCCGGTCCCGCCGCCCGCCCGACCTGGCTCGCTGTCGGCGGGGACGGGCGGGCCGGGCCGGGCCGGGCCGGGCTGCGGCGGGGCGGGCTCAGTGCGGCTGTGCCGGGGCCGCGCTGCGCCGCGCTGCGCCGTGATGCGCGGGGGGGACCGCGCCGCGCCGGGCTGCGCCGGGCTGAGCCGGGCTGAGCCGCGCTCGGCCGTGCCGAGCCGTGCCGAGCCGTGCCCCGCCGCCCCGCGCCGCCCCGCGCCGCTCCGCACCGCCCCGCAGCGCCCCGCACGGCAGCGGCGCTCCCGGCCCTTCGCCGCCCCAGCCCCGCAGGCTCCTTCCCCGCACTGCGCGGCACCCTGGGACTGTCGTTCTTCCCATCCCCATCACTCATCGTGATCCCACCCCATGCTGTCCCCATGCTATTCTTTCCTGACCCCCATCGCATCCTCTCCTACCCTCTCCTGGTCACATCTCCTCCCGTTCCTTTTCCCATCTTGTCCCGATCCCACTGCTTTCCGTCTACAGGCTGCGTTTACCCCATTCCATTCTTATTGCCATCCAACTCCCTCCACATTCTACCCTGTCTCTATGCCATTCCCATCCTCTCCTCGTCATGTCCTCTTCCCACCTCATCCCACCCCATTCCCATCCCACCACATCCAATTCCGAACCCATCCCCTCCCCATCACATCCTGTCCTGACTCCGTCCTCCCCATCCCATCCTATCCCTACCTTCCAACCTGATGCTATCCCACCCTCTTTGGGTGCCGTCCTGCCCCGCCCGTACCACATCAAGGTCCCCACACACGGTGCCAAACTTACACAGTTCTACTCCCTCATCCTGATCCCATCCCACTCTGAGCCCCTGCCCTCATCCCTCGGCTCCCTGCCCTGGAGAGGGACCCCCCATCTCTCTGCTCCCCAGGAAGGGCAGGACTGACGCCGTCTCCCCAGGATACCGCCCTCCCACCCCAGCAGCTGCAGCTGGGAAAGCTCCTCATCCCACCTGCCTGTGGGTACTTAAGAGCCAGAGGCTGCCCGGGAGGGTGTCTGCTGCTGGGGATGGCTACAGGGGAGCAGGTCGGTGCTCGCCCTGCGGGCTGGGGAGGCTGTAGAGCACAGCGAGCCCTGCCAGCCCTCGGGGTGCCAGTGTGGGAGGTACTGGGGGGCTGCAGGCTCCCTGCTGGGCTGGTCATGGGGCTCTTCGGGGCTGTCCCACTTTCCCCTGCAGAGGCAGCAGGAGCGACGCCGGCAGAGGGCTCGGCAGCAAGAGCTGCTCCCAGCAGAGATCCTGGGCAAGCACCCCCTGCAGAACAGGTATGGGAGGCCTGGCCATGGACAGCTTCTCTCAGCGCTGGGATGGGTGTGGGGGGGCTGGAGGGGGACTCTGGCACTGTTGAAGACCCCATTTCCCCTTCGTCCCCAGATGGGCACTCTGGTTTTTCAAGAATGACAAGAGTAAGATGTGGCAGGCAAACCTGCGCCTCGTCACCAAATTCAGCACTGTGGAGGACTTCTGGGCGTGAGTGTGCATTGGGTGGGCACACCCACTGTGTCCCTTCTGGAGACACTCTGGTGGGGGGGTCTGAGCCTGAGGCACCTATTCTCACCTGCTTCTGCACCTCCATCTAACACAGGCTGTACAGTCACATCCAGCTTGCCAGCAAGCTCACAGCTGGCTGTGACTACTCCCTCTTCAAGGTATGATACCCCATCCTCAGAATCCCCCCAGCACCTAGCGTTATGGGGGTGCTGGTAAGGCTGTCAGGATGCCCTGGCCATAAGGTGGGAGGGGAAATCTGGCTGGGTGTTCACAGCTCCCCAGGCCAGCTCTGGCCAGTGCTTGGTGCCCGTGAGTGTCCCTTGCCTGCCCCTAGGATGGCATTGAGCCCATGTGGGAGGACAGCCAGAACAAGCGTGGCGGGCGCTGGCTCATCACCCTGGCCAAGCAGCAGAGGCACACCGAGCTGGACCGGTTCTGGCTGGACACAGTGAGTGCTGCCCCTCTCGGGGGTCTTGCCTGTGGTGTCCCCCCTGCCCCAGGGCTGAGCCCCAGCTGGGGACTCCCTTTCTCCTCCCAACAGCTGCTGTGCCTCATTGGGGAGATGTTTGATGAGTACAGTGATGAGGTGTGCGGGGCCGTCATCAACATCCGCACCAAGGGGGACAAGATTGCCATCTGGACCCGGGAGGCGGAGAACCAGGAAGGGGTCACCCACATTGGGTAATGCAGCTTCGGGGGAGACTGCACAGGGGAATAAGGGCTGCCCCTGCTTGGGGGAATAGGCCCAATGGCAGAAGTGGTGCTGCCCTGTTCATGCATCCCCTTCTCTCCTCCAGGCGTGTCTACAAGGAGCACCTGGGGCTGTCACAGAAGGTGGCCATTGGGTACCAGGCTCATGCGGATACGGCCACCAAGAGCAGCTCCCTTGCCAAGACCAAGTTTGTGGTGTGACTGTGGGGAGAGTGAGGTCCCCTATGAGTCCCCATGTTCTGTCTCACAATAAATTTCTGCACCTGAGCATGATCTGTGTCTCCAGGGCTTTTGGCAACCTGGGGTGGCTCCTGTTTGTTGGGGACATTTCCTGGGAGGGAGATGATGATGTGTCAAATCCTGGCCCTTCCATTCTGGTTGGGTGGGGCCAGGAGCACAGAGCTGGCATCACAATGGGCTTGGGACACTGTATGTGTCCCCTCACTTCCCCTAGAGCCTGGGACCAGTGCCCCTCTCCCTGAGGCTGTTGGGGGTGTTTTCTGTGTTTTGGGGGGTCCTGGATAGCTCCCAGAAGAATGCAGTTCTATCCTCCCCTGCCCAAGGCATGGGCATAGCTCACTGCCCTGAAAACCTGGGCATGGGAGGAACTACTGAGGCCTAGCTCATCTGGGTCAGCTCAGCCTGGGGAGCTGGTCTACTTTTCTCCTAAGTCCCTGCACATCTGTGGGACATGGGTCTGCCTTCTGGAAAATCAGTTTCCCAGCTGAGGGCTGGCAGTGTCCCTGCAGGATGGGTGTTGGGCTGCAGCACAGCATGGTCCCATGCTGCATCCTCTCCCACAGACACTTGCAGCATAGGTGCTCTGAAGCTCGTTTTCTTGGTGCCACACCTGCAGGTTCACAACCTCAGTCTTTTGAGCCCTAGGACTTTGCTGTCTCCTTTCCATGGCTCATGTCTTCTGCTGTCCTTTCTGGTGGTCCTGGCCTCCCATACTCTCTTCCAGCCCCACCCCACACTCTGTCCTTTAATCTTTTATTTGTGTGTTTGATTGTTTTATCTGTGCTTCCCTGCCAGTCAGATTCCAGAGGTGGAGCTGTCTGCTCCCCCCCTGACAGCGGCAGCTGCAGTTCTGCCCTCGCTGCAGCTCTCATCCAGGATATCCTCCATTCTCTCCAGCAGCACCCAGGCTCCATCTCAGCCCAGGGCTGCACCTTGTCCAGGGCTGCATGTCCAGCCTAACTGTGCCACCTCATCATCCCAGAGCCAGGGCTGCTTGTCCCCTGCTGGGATGGCTCAGTGCTGCCCTGCCTGCAGCCAGGCCCTGCAGAAGGATGAAGTATTGACCACTCGCTGCTCTTAGAGCTGGTTGTGACCTGTCTGGTCACAGTTTGACAGGCAGCTGGTGTGGCTGTGTCACCCAGGGTCTCGACTGCCTGCAGTGCAGCCTGTGGGGTTGGGCTTGCTGAGCCCTGCATTATCCTGCAGCTGCCCTGGCTGCAGAGAGCTGTGTCCCTGGGACTCAGCTGCCCTGGCTGCAGAGAGCTGTGTCCCTGAGACTCAGCTGCCTTTCTCCAGGAATATCAGCCTTGCAGCTCCCCGGGGGCAGTGCAGGACCCTCCACCACCCAATATTGCTCCTGTTCCAGGCAGAGGGTGATATAGAGACTGAAGACAGGAGATCATCCCTGGCTGGTGGTGTGTCAGGCCACATCCCTGTGTCCTTGCATTGTGTGAGGCTTTGGGTCATTTCTCTGTGCAGGTGCAAGGGCAACAGCACCGTATGCCCTCCCCAGCAGGGCCATGGGGCTGGGAGGCCTGAGGCAGCAGGACTGGGATCAGGGGATGCAGTGTGGGGGGCAGCACCCCAAACTGGGGATGCTGCAAGTGGCAGGACTGGGATCAGGGGATGCAGTGTGGCGGGCAGCACCCCAAACTGGGGATGCTGCAGGTGGCAGGACTGGGATCAGGGGATGCAGTATGGGGGAAACACCCCAAACTGGGGGTGCTGCAGGTGGCAGGACTGGGATCAGGGGATGCAGTATGGGGGGCAGCACCCCAAACTGGGGGTGCTGCAGGTGGCAGGACTGGGATCAGGGGATGCAGTGTGGGGGGCAGCACCCCAAACTGGGGNTGCTGCAGGTGGCAGGACTGGGATCAGGGGATGCAGTGTGGGGGGCAGCACCCCAAACTGGGGGTGCTGCAAGCGGGGATCAGGGGGTGTCTCTGCCTTGCCCGCTGGTCCCGCACGGGCACGGCGTGCCGGCAGCCCGGGCGCTGCCTGTACCGCCGGCTGCTCGCCACGCGATGGTGCCGCTCGCCCGGCCTTGGCGGCTCCGGCGCGGCGGGGATGGCAGCCAGCCCTGCCTGCGGCGGGGTCCCTGTCTGCCCTGCCCTGCCCTGCCCTGCCTGCGGCGGGGTCCCTGTCTGCCCTGCCCTGCCCTGCCCTGCCCTGCCTGCGGCGGGGTCCCTGCCTGCCCTGCCCTGCTTACATTTGCGTTCCCTGCCCGAAATGGGGTCACAGCGCTGCCCCAGCCGCCCCCCACTCCGACCCCCCTCCCCAGAATGAGAGACAGGCAGAGCCACGCGTGGGGTTAACAAAGCCGAAACTGGAGGAAGGGTGCTGAGACCCCCTAAAATGCACCATTAATGCCCCTCCCCAGCAGTGACAGCGCCAAGTGCGTGGGAGGCAGGGCATGTCTGTCCCTCTGTCCCTTCAACCCACTGCTCTGTCATCTGGCTCTAGGGCACCGTGCAGCCAGGCTGTCCTTGTCCCAGCAAGGGCATCATGCTCATGGGGTGCCCTTGCCCCATCACGTCACAAGGCCAAGGTTAACTGGGGCAGGAGGGTGTGCAGAGGCTGCTGCACTGCCGTGGTTCATCACCATTCTCATGTAGCCACAGTGGGATTTCTTTTGATTGGAAAAAATAATAGGAGCCATTTATCTCCATGGCTTTATGGGTTCCCATCAGCTCTGCAGCCCAGCCAGGCTAGGGGGCTGGCACTGCCCACCCAGAGCCTGCCCTTTGGGTACACAATGACCTTCAACTTTTGCATCCCACAGTCCCTGTCTGAGGGCCAGAGGGTGCTGGGGGGCACAAAGTCACCCCCTGGGTGGGCAGAGCAGTTGCCAGGAGCCACACAGTGAGTACAGCAGTGCCAGGCTGCCCCTGGCCTATCTCATGCTGGGCAGCTGTCCCAGCTGGCAGCCGAGCTGGCAGTCCTGTCAATAATAATAATTAAAAATTAATACTAATCAAAAGGGAGAGGCAGATGGCAGCAGACATGCGGCAGGGCTGGAGGTGGGGGTGGGAGGCACAGCAGACAGAGGGGCCTGCAAGGACAGGGGTGGGGGAGCCAGGAGTGCTGTGGGGTCTAATGGGGATGGGAGGTGCAGGTCAAGGGACCCACGTGGCACAAGTGGGGTTGGGGATATGGGGCTGGGGTTGCTGCAGGGCGCAGCAGGAATGGGGATGGACTGTGCTGCTGCAGAAATGGGGTCCCGTGTCCCCCTTTCCGTGCAGGGGTTGTGGGTCTGTGGTGCTGGGTGCCCATCTGGGTCACCTTGCCAGCAGCTGGTGTGCAGCCATGGCCAGGCACTGCCAGTCCAGCTTCTCCCTGAGCCACCAGCTCTGGCAACGAGGACAGATCCTGCCCCCGGCACACGTCTGGTGCAGGCACCCATGCTTGCACCCAGTGAGTGCTGCAGGGTTAAAATCCCCAGATATCTGGGGAAGGAGCTGCTGGCTCCGTGCAGGGCGCGTGGGCTGGGGAGGAACAGGCAGCGCTGGCTCACCGTGGGAGTGGGCAGACACGCTGCTGCCACTGCTGAGGCTGTGCCACGCCGTTCCCGCAGTGCCTGAGCCCACCCGCCTGCCCCATCACCCAGCCAGGGGACACGGGGGGACTCTGGACCTTGCAGGAGAGGTGAGGGCACACAGGAGACCTCCGTCCCTGGCCACCGACAGCATCCCCATGCATTCCTGCGCTGGAGCTCCCCTTGCCCTCCCTGCCGGGCCCTGGAAGGGCACAAGCTGCGCCGACTCTCCCTTCAGAATCACTGTGGCATGCAAGGAGGGGTACCCAGGGTGAGGGGTACCTACAGTGCACAGTTCCCATGACAACCTCCCGGCAGAGACAGCAGCCGGTGCGGGAGATGCGGGCGGTGAGGGGCCTGTGGACCCGCCGGGCATGGGCTCCCACGCCTGGCAGGGCACAGTGGGGCACAGCAGAGGGGCTGCACCTCTGGTTCTTGCTCCCACGCTTGGGCTCCGCCTGCTCCATCCTGTTTCTTGCAGCTTGGGACAGGCAAGGCATTGCTGGTGCTGGGCTGCTGCCGTCCAGCTTCAGCTGCACGGTGGGGAAGTGGTTAAATGCCTGCAGGGCCGTCCCCAGCGCCAGCAGCAGAAAAGGCAAAGACGGGGACAGTATCTCCTGCCCTGCGCCTCAGGGAGCCTGTACCTGAGGAGGGTCCTTTGCTGTCACTTCTCATCTGGGTGGATACCAGGCTCTGCAACACGGCTGAGCACTCTCCTTCCCCGCAGGGACGGGTTGGCACTTCTCGCTTGGCAGAGGCAGGCGGGGGGAGTGGGCGGGTGGGATGGGGACAGGGACAGGAGCTGTGCGGCCACAAACCTGCAGGCATGTCTGCAGCACGCGGCTGTGCAGACGGTGCCACCGCCCTTTTGGGGTGTGTTCTGCTTGTCCTGTATCCTGGCCTGGGTGCCCCCCAGATGGCTGGCACCTGCCCACAGAGCCTTTACCTGCACGAGTCACCGTGTCCATCCTGTCCCCGAGACTCTGGTACTGCCCCTGCCCTCCCCGCCTCCCTCAGCTCCCGCAGTGGATGCCACCAGCTCCGGTGGACCACCCTGCACCTCCCTCAACACAGGCACATCCAAACATTAGCACCGCCACGTTCCTCCCGGCGTGGCACGGGGACCAGCCACTCACTCTCCCGGTTCACCGGGGAGCAGATGTCAGCCCCGAGGCTGCCGGGACACGGGGCACGTGGCAGTGCCGCCGGTGCCTGTCCTTTCCTTCCCGGCCCTGTGCAGCCCGGAGTGGCCTCGCAAGAGGCTGCTGATGCTGCACCCACAGCCACCCCCTCGCGGGGCCGGGCGCTGCCAGGCTCCGTGCGTGCCCCAGCTCCACAGCTCCGGCTGGGAGGGCTGGAGTTTCCCGGGCGGTCGATGTGCCCATCGATCCCGCACAGCTCTGCCGGCTGCTCTCCCACCGCCCTGCTAATTAATTGGCTGCTGCTGCTGCAGCTGCTGCTGTGAGAGTGCTGGGCACGGGGTGCTTGGGCTGCCAGCACCCTGCCCTGCCAGCACCCTGCCC